TAATTTACTAACATACAAACCGAATATTAAAAATGCAATGCATTAAAAGGGACATTGCTCCAAATGGGACAAAGGATACGCCAGCCCCAAGAAAAAGCTTGTTTTGTAACTTATTTTGTTGTCAGTCTGAAATTGACAGATTTATAATAGACTATTACACAACAACAGATCAAACTATAGTGTTGGCATTACAACTAGTTTACAATAGTTACAAAGAAGGCATAACAGGCGCAACAAGCTTTTTCATATATTAAACTCTCCAGTGACGTGTCAAGACTAAAGTTTTTTTATATGGTTGTAAAAGTTTTAAACCAGTCCCTGGGAACCCTTCCACCCCAGGAAGGGATTAGAAAAGATCTTTCCTCATATCCACCTTTTTCATCTTAGAAAGGCTGGTTTCTGCATTAAAGCCCTAAAGGAAGCAGTTTCACTTCAAGGCAGGGGCGGACTAGGACTACAAATCAGCCCGGGACTCTCTCAAATTATACCACTTCAGTACCGGCCCATCGGGATTCGTCCCGAACGTCCCGATGGCCAGTCCGCCCCTGCTTCAAGGCCTTTTAAAAGGGTTTTTATTGTCAAGCTAAATTTAGATGTATAATAGTTGAGATATATGTACCTCTATTTCTGATTTAGTTGTTCTATAGATAAATAACCATCGAAACTAGTAGTTCCAGGTGAAAAGTATTTTTTTGTGTTTGCACATTGGTGATATCCAGAGTAAGAAAAAAGAAAAACGTAAGATGTCCTGTAAACCAAAATATGACAACACAAAACATCACACATTGCATTGGACTTGAGGGAGAAATATTTTTATTAGATGATCTACACTTTGTTTAAAAAATTGTACACATAGGGAAAAGGCTGACTGATTTGGTGTTGAGGTGTGCAGAGCCGTCCAGTGGGAAGGATGCGAGACAAACTTGAAATAGCGTCAGTGTTTTTCAGTCCTTTTTGTTTCCGTGCTGTTTAAGGAAGATCTTAGGTGTATTCCATCCTTCTGGAGCCTTCTTCAGTCCAGCTTTTGTCCAAATCCTCTTCAGATCCTTCTCAAATCGTTTCTGCACAGGACACAATCAAACAGTTTAGAGGTGGCAGTTTAGAAAATGTAATTTGTGTATAAAATACAAAAAATAAACACCGTTGAAGTGTAAGCAAGACAACATGTTAAATAAAACAATACAGTTTGAAATGAAATGATCACACATACTGATAAATTGCTGAATGTGCCAGGATAATCAGTAGGAAATGATCAATCTCTAGACAATATCACAGGAACCCTTTTTTATTTATTTTTCCCCAAAGGAAGAATCTCTCACCTGCTTCTTTTTCCCTCTGCCCTCGATCACTCTCTTCCTCAAGAATCTAGTCCGTTTTAGCAGCTTCCTGTACTTATGCCGGTTGATCTTCCGCCGTCGGATCTCAAGAACATTTTTACAACTAAGGGGTGTCGCTGGTTCACCCCCGTCCTCCAGCGCAGGGTCAGAGAGGGCTGGCAGCAACTGCTCCTCCAGCAGCTCCACCTCCTCCTGCGGGAGAGGGCACTCCAGCAGGGGGGGGAGGGAGTAGTGCAGGGAGAGCCAGCTCTCCAGGGGGCTCACGGACAGTTTACGCGGCACAAGAACCTCTTCCAGTTCTGGCTCCAGTTGCACCCATCGAGGAGGAGGTGTGTCTGCTTCTGTTGAGTAGCTCCTGAGTTTTGGTTGTAGCTGAGAGCAGTAAGCAGGAAGTACATGTTGTACACGTCCATTCAAAATTTCTCCATGGGCTTGAAGCGCACCTGGAAAAATAAATGATATCATCTTGAGTATATTACTTATAACTGGAAATGTAGCATACCCATTGTCTAATTAATATAATAAGGAGAGATTCCACAACAGTTGTTCTAACTCTTGAAATCAGTTTGGTCTTAACTCTTGAAATCTGGTAGGTACATTTATTTTAGCATGAACAACATTGACATTTTTAGAGCACATGTGAAATCGCACTTTCATCAATGGTCAAAGTCAGAATATTTGAATAATGCTAACATTGTTTATTTAGTGTCTTTCAAAGGAAATAGGTTCATTCACAGATTTTCTTATAATACTATATTGAGTCTTTGAGCACATGGGGCAATTAGTCTTTCTCAAAACAAAATGTATAGAAAAGAAAGCCCTATGTGCCCTAAGACTAAACAAAATAAAAACCATACTGTTCGACCAATTGTAAAAATGTCAACATGATTATAAAGTGGACCTATCATGCTATATTATAATAATATAGTGTAGGACCATACCTATATAAGACATATTTATACTTTTTTTTTCTTCAAAATACCAAACAGATCATGCATTTTAGCCATGCCTCATTTTGCTCAAATTGCACTTTTTTACCCCTGTTTTTGCAAGGGCTGATTCTGTGAGAACAGCACCATCTACAGGCCTGGCATATGTACTACAGCGTCTCTACCGCTTTCGAACGGCAATGGCCGTGGCCTTCTCCTCCTGATTGGTGGAGTTGACCCAATAGCCGTAGCGCCACTGTCCTGACGTCAGTAAAGTGTTCAAATCTGGATCAGTTTTTATCAGATCCGTTGCAGCCCCTTTTTTAGAGATTTGGGTATGGAGGAAAATAGAGAGGGTTGTGTTTTCTGACACTTGGTGAGTTCCCTGGAACACCGGGGACACATATTCATGTATAAAAGACGTACAAAAGTGCATTTTGCATGATAGGTCCCCTTTAAAGGATAGAAAGATATTTTGCTTATACTTACAGGTTGCTCTACGTAATAGATTGAGACGAGGGACAACCTTTGATGAAAACATTGTTATTGATCATTCAAGTAACTTCATCAGGAAAGAGTTGAGGAGTCACTGGTCCTGTGTGGAAAGAGCAAATTACTTTTAGTTGGTCATAGCTCTTCCATAGAGATCACAAACGTGTACCGAGAAGTAACTACAAACAATAACAGTCATATAAAAATACTGCATATATTTTATATTATTACAAAATACTGTATTTTGTAATAACATACTGTACGCAGTTTGTTGTACAGATTTCATGGAAATAATTTATATATCTTAACGTGTAGTTTTGGTTCTTTTTCTAACCCTTTATCTCCTTAACTGTGTTTATCTTTTCACCATGTATATATAAACCTGTTTTATGATTTTTATGATATACTGTCAAACCTAGCTGGGTTAGCTTTAGATTAGCCGGTAACTGATGTCCACCTTAACTATAGCCTGTACCCAAAAGAATGAAATGCACTCATGGTACAAAGTAAAACACTGTGAGAATGTAAAATAATCAATATTAACGAAACCTTGTCAAATTAAACTTATTTTCCAGTTGCCAGGTGACTTTTGCTAATGCTAGCTAGCAACGCAGCACCGATTTAATGCGTTCAAATCGCAATATTATTACTAAAAGATTGCAGCTAAGAATAATTCGGCTTTTGGCTATCCGACCACGTCAATTACACTATTTGTTGTATGTAATAAACATTGTTACTTTACCTTATACTCCTATGACCCGTGTTTTCGTCTTCAATGTGACTCTAGAATCCTACTTCCGGCTTGAGTAACACAATATTAAGGCATTTCCTGTTTCTCAGCGGAGACAAAGGTTCCGCTGTAGCAGTTAAGGCGAGAGTGCCTCTCAATTATGTGGAGCTACTCTTCAACCTCCTCATTAATACACTGAATAAACGGGCAGTGTGTTATTGAAACATTATTAATATTTGATCATCATTATGATTACACATGTATTTCATATTATTCAACACCCAGGAGAGGGACATCTTTTATCTTCTGCTATGCTGATGGTAAATCTGGAGAAAATGTCCCCACCACTTTTTCTAACAAAGTGAGGCCAATGTATTTGTTTAATCATTTATAATACTGTGTGGACCTGTGCTTTGCATCACACAGTAGGTGAGTTTAAAGCTTGAATGACTCCACTGGAGGGCACTATCAGTCCAATGGTAGAAGGCGCATGCTGTTTCAACAACAAGGACCATACGTTTAATTCTGATTTATACTGAATACATTGTACAGCGAATCAAATAATACATAAAAGTACAAGAAACATACCGTGGATATTTTGCATCTGAGATACACTCTTTTTGTGACTAACTGCTGCCTAAAATGAATTAAATTCTTCAATTGTAGTATTTGTTGAAGCAAACATTTAAAACATAGTTTAGACCTGCATGAGATCTACAAGACTTTTTGTTCTTTGGTCAAATGAACAAAGTGGGTGGGGAGCATAACCACAATAACTTAATTTGGAAAAGACAGCTATGACATAAGAGTTAACATTATTGATGTTTATCTTAATGTAAAGCAAAATACATTTGGGAATATATTTAACATTTCATTCTCTCAAAATGACCAAATTCATTACACATCCATGGTATGTGTTTATTTTTTTTAGACAGTATTTGAAACATCTGCTGCTAGGCTGACAAAAACCCAGCATGCCCCAGGGGTCTGCAGCACACGTCCTCACAGAGCAGCGAGCTACTGCTGCTGTTGTGCAATAAACTGACCTTCACTTTGTAGTCTGACCTTTTTTAATTTACTTACAGAATAAATGTTTTTGCACATATTCAAGCACTTCTTTGCATAAAAACAGAAAAGTCCCAAATGTTCAGGACAGAGTAGTACAATTGCATGTTTTAAACATATCTATGACGTTCCATAAACATATTACAATCCTTCGTTTTTTAAGTATTGCGAGATACATTTGGAAAGCCCATTTCAGTCATAATTGAGCTGTATTTCCCTTTGATTCATTTAAACGTATATCTTTCTTCCATGTGGCACAGTTGTATAAAAAGGGAAGCCTCCACTTTTAGATTGCTCTAGTTTTACATACTTGTGGGCAGCCACATCAAATCGTTTATTTATGGGGCTTTCTCTCTAAGCTTTCATCAAGATGGTGGGAAGTGGAACATCTAGTTTGTTGGTATTTGAGTGGCGTGATGCAGGGCATAAAGTAAGGATAAAAAAGACTTTAAAATTCTCAGGGCATTTATTTACAATAAAAACAACAACAACAACAACAACAAAACATTCATTTCATTGTAAATCCTGCTGGCTATTCATTATTTCCTTCACTATACTTACACCATCAGTGTGTGATGATAAGGCAACTGAAATGATCAGCAGGATGTGCTGGGAGATTTCCCTTTTTACTGAACAGTCTGAATATTTGTTTTAATATTTATCTTCTATAAAACTCTCTTTGCAAAAAATATTTAAAAGTAAGTGTACGAGAAATAAAACAACCATTTTTAAATTGGCAGTGATTTCAAGGATGTTGGGCAATCCTATTTTAATCCATGGCCTTTACATTATATGCTATACACTCCAACCAATTATCTATTTACAAAATCAGTAGTTGTATATATAGTTATTTTTCTTTTAAGCAAATAAATATTCACTATCTTTTTTTAATGCATTGCAAGTTGCAGTGAACGAGATCGGACTCTTTACAGATGACAACATTATAATTCACTACAAGGCAACACACACAGTACAAGCATATGGCAGGATGCTGAACGTATCCACCAGAGGTACAGTGTTACAGATGTACGCTATAAATGCCACTTCAACAGGAACCAAATTGATAAATAAAGACAGATATTAGAGAGATAAACAGAACATCATGTAGAGATTGGGCTCCTCCTCGCCAACACATGAGAGGACAAAGCAGTGAAATCAGTCATTGATGGCAGTATCCATATATCTAAAGCCTATACGGACAGCGCTGAAGTATATCTGCATTGCAATCCCATTTCCGATGCAGTGCACACGAGTCAAGAAGTCGAGGTAAAATACATGTGAGGGATGAAGGAATTGCCTTCTTAAAAAGGACAACTCACTTCCAAAATCAAAAACATATTTTTCTTATAACATGTAGAGCTATCCTTCATTGTTGGGGATATGTATTGTAGGTATGTCTGGCTTCCATCATAATGGAACTTATAATGGAACTCATTTAAAAAGGAAATAGTTTTAAGTCGTTTTCTTCTGCAGCTTGCAATTTGTATTTTACCCAGAAAATAATCACAATTAACAGCATCCAACAGAACAATAATATATCACATTAGATGTTTTGTTAGAAAATACTCTCCTTTGATGCTGAATATTTGGTATTACATATACATTAGAGATATTTATTGAGTTAAAACCTTTGTTGATTTGGTAAAACCATCTAGGCAATTATCTTCTCTGTATTGCAGCAAAAGTCCTTCCTGTTTCTACAAAGAGCTCAATGGCACCGTGTTTACCCTGTATATCCAGCACACCTGGGCTTCAACAAGACCAACTAAACCAAAGTAACATTTTTTACAAATTTGACCATTACATTTGTAGATAAAAATGTGCGCTTTTGAAACAAAAGGTACCTAGGCAACAGATGTGTGAACAGGCAAAGAAAAGAGTGGAAGGAAACACATGCTTCCTAGTGTCCTCCAGGTTTCTGGATACTCCACACAGCAGCTCTCACTGAGCAGCAGACTGGCCACGCTCCACCTGCTTCCTCTCTTCCTTCTCATCCTCCTCATCTTCGTCCTTCTCATCATTAGACATGGCGAACGCCTGCTCTTGTCTAACCTCCCAGAGGGATTGCGACATATGGGAATGCTTTGGGAACAAAAGAGATGTATTGTCAAAACTTAAGAGTGCATTTATTTATAGTCCTATTAGTGACTAGAAGTAGTTCTTTGCCAATACTGAAAAACATCTATATGCCCTGATTTTATTTCATTCTAAGTAAAATAACAAGCATCATGTTTAAAAGAAATGTACAAAATAAAAAACGAAATATACTGTACATATAGATATATAGTACACATACAATTTTAGCTTTGCTACGAAGTACGCCTACAAAATATATATATGTGGTCCATCTGTCAGTAGTTTAAAGCCATGGATTGAGACTATGAGAGGGTGCTGAGGAAAGTCTAACCTGAAGATGGAGATCCAGGATACAACCAATGCAAGGAGCTAACAGTTCTGCATATAGGGTGAACAAACAATAAAAAAACAAGCAGACAAGCACGGTACATCAACAACTGCACATACAAAAACATGCAGAACAATAAAGGGGATTTAAGCTGATAATAGAGAAGTGTATATTTCAGTTGAATCCAGGGTGTGGTTCACTCACCGATGAGGACTGATGATCGTGTGGTCGTTCCAGTTTGATGCGGACGTCTGTCCCCTTCCCTCGCTCAGGTTTACCGGGCCCTGAAGGATGGTCAACAGTGGAGTGAACACATGTCCATCACAGATTGATTTTAAAATCAGTTATCCATAAATATTCAGAGATAACAAGAGCTTTTTTTAAGTTGACATGTTTTTTGAAACCTCCTGAGACTCTTATGTGTTTTAGGTGTTGAATATTTGTTTAGTATGCTGGACGTGCTCCTGTCTCACCTGGGGAGCTGCCTCGGCTGGTAGTGTTGGTGCTGGTGCTGCTGGCGCTGTCCTCCAGCCAGGTGCTGTAGTTCAACGAGTCTCGCTTGTGTGGCGTCCCGGCAGACGACAGACTCTCCTGGAGAGACGCAGCAGAAAATGCATTTATAAAAATATATCATTTTTTTTATATATCTTTTGAAACTGTCACTATATCCTGACAGTGGTGCAAGAGACAGATAATGAAAAGCTTGATTTTGGCTCCACTGTTTTCAACAAAGTATCTAAATATACAGCTAAAATGTTCAATAATGTATGGGGGGGGGGGGGGGGGGGGGGGGGATTTGACATGAACTAACAGAATCTTGTTCACAGGCAGCAATAAAGCTGCATTAGAGACTCCTCGGCTCAAATTGGTTTATTTTCCTTCAGGCGCTTTGTGATCTTATAAATCCCATAATAAGCACTGGGTGGGGGGGGGGAGAAAAGGCAGATTTTCTTCACATAATATCTGTCTTGTGAAATACTCTCATGATTTAGAAAGAAGAAGAACTTATAAAGTAACCAACTGACAAAATTGATAACTTGGATGCTTACTTATTTGATTAATGTGTGCTTGCCTCTTTATTTAATATGTAAAGCAACTCATTTTAATTTTGCCTTTCATCCACACTGTCCATTTGCTGTTACAATGTTAATTTCCCTGCTGTTGTATGAAATCTGATTCTGAAATATGCACTTGTCTTGTTTTCATTCAGGCTGAACGCATCACTCACCATGCCCGTGTCATAGTCCTCAGTGGCCTCTGTCTCGTTCTCCTCCACCACACTGGCGAAGCTGCTAGCATTGGAGGAGGAGCGGGAGAGGTCGTGACCCTCGGGGATGGATTGGGCCCTGCCACCGAGAAGAGAACTACACCCTGGGTTATCACGCTCCAGCACAGCCACACCTGATTTTATCTTATGTATAGGACACAGTCATTCAACTTGCTGCCACAGCTGAGAAATACCCGCCGGCTCCACAAATACAGGTCTGACACAAGGTGTGAAATCTAACATCATCATAACCCTGTGATACGGCTGTAACTGATAATGCACACCTGTTCTTGGTGCTGGTGAGCGCCTCGGGGGAGCTCTGATTGGACGAGTTGTCAGATTTGGGATCTTGAGAGACGTGACCGCTGTCAGGGGTCTTCTGGGTATTGAGGGAGATCTCTCTGTTGTTCATAGTAGGAAGTAGATTATGAACTTTAGTTAGCAATTACAAGGCTTTAGACACACAGTAAGAGGTACATAATGCAACATGTTGTAGAGGTAGCAGCAATGCACAGCAGTATTTCCTTACCTCTTCTCATGGACCTCTTGAATGTTTTCAATACCGATGGCACTACTTCGCCTGGAGCTGAAGGGGCCGGACTTTTTCCTGGTAGGGCTTTTCCCCGGTATTATCAAAGACTGTAGAGGGAGAGAAAAAAAGCTGTCAGAAAACGTCTAATATCTAGAATATCTTTGGTTAATATTACATGTATCCACAGAGCTGATATTTCTATGTAAACATAACTGATGGGAGTTATTTCAAATGTCACTATAATTGTACTAATTTGGAGAAAAGGTATCTTTGCACCCTTCAAGTTTATACTTAAAAAATAGGTCAAATATGCACTTAATGACTTAGTGTCAAGCCCCGGTTCCAGTCTTTCAGTCAGTGCAGGGCAAACTAATGCCATAGATGAAAGATGGGTTTAAAGGCTCCAGGGCATACCACTATATATGCTTTCTCAGCGACTGCTTTGTTCATTCAAAATCTCCCTTTAAAGCTCTTAAAATCAGATCTTGAAAAACCTTTTAACTTAATGTGGCTTCAAAGAGCATGGGGAGGGTTATTGTTATAATATATCTTTAAGGGGGTGATTCATTAATTAATATTCATCATATTTATACAAATCGGAAATTAAGCATACAGAAATGAAAATTCAGAATAGTCCCACGACTACAGAAGGTGCATATATAATGCATATATAATAAAGCAGATAGGAAAGTGAGAATAGAAGAACATCTACAATATAAGTCAGTAGGGAGTGTAGACCATTTGAAGTCTTAAGCAGAGCTGCTTAACTCTGACTGCTTTGAAGGATTTCTAGATAATTGTGTCAAATGAGATCCCAATATATTTGTATTTAAGAAACCAATTACCCAATGGGAAAATGGGAAGGAAAATGTCTATATTTGCTTTTGTTAAAATAAACATCCCATCTGTGACACACAATGAATGTTAAATAGAGTGCTGAAATGCAAACAGGAAAGTGTGTTGATGCAGTTGAGCCATGCAAACAAAGGGAAGGAGCAAAGAGGAGAAAGGAGTTGTTAGAGAGTAGTTAGAATAAGACATGAACCTCTTCTACTGTTCCTATCCCTATGGCACTGCCTCGACGTCCATATTTACTGGGACTTTTGCCTGGGACAAGCAATGACTGAGCAACAAAGGGAGAGGAGAGGAGAGAGAGAGAGAGAGAGAGAGAGAGAGAGAGAGAGAGAGAGAGAGAGAGAGAGAGAGAGAGAGAGAGAGAGAGAGAGAGAGAGAGAGACGAGATGAGGACAGATGACAAAAGGGGTGGGGAGAGAAAACATGAGTAAATACAAATATATATGAGAATTCATGCAGTCTGTCATAAACAAAATACAGTGTACTGGTTAATTGGAGAATACAAAAAGGGACATTTTGGCTCGACACAGGCATGCCTGAATGGAAGAGAAAAGTGATGAGTCAATCGTGTGAGCCATGTGCCTGCAGGAAGGATGATGAAGAGGAGATAAAAACAGCAGAGGACACACATGTTATACATATATGCACAGCAGGACTATTATGTACTAAAAGCAAGCTCGAGTTAGATACATTCAAATCAATTGTTGGTTATTGATAATGGTTAGGTATTTTTGAAGGCTATCTTAATAATTCTTACTTCCATACATCATCAGAGAAGTTTCATTAAAAAAGTATACATTCAGACACTCACATTGTACAATATATACATATAGGATATATAACTAAATAATACATAAAAAAGCTGTTGACAGTGTTTACAGACAATGATATGAAAGTGGCCATTTGGGTACACAATTCTTACCCCTGGATGATGGAAACAATAATTAGTTCATAAGCATAATAACAAATAAAGTCAACATACAGTAAATGAACACACACACACACACACACACACACACACACACACACACACACACACACACACACACACACACACACACACACACACACACACACACACACACACACACACACACACACACACACACACACACACACACACACACACACACACACACACACACAAAAATAAAAAAAAACATCCTCCCCTCGGTCATGAACCTTGGAGTGACCTTCACTAGCACTTTTAAATTCGACAAGCAGGTCAGCACCGTAGTAAAATCCTGCTTTTTTAAAATAAGACTATTGGCCAAAACCAAGTCGTATTTATCTTTTAATGACTTAGAAAGGGTTATTAACGCCTTTGTAACCTCGAGACTGGACTATTGTAACGCTCTGTATGTGGGTATGGACCAGGCCTCAATTAAACGCTTACAGCTAGTCCAAAACGCTGCTGCACGTTTGCTGACTGGCCACAAAAAGCATGACCACATCACCCCTATTCTGGCCTCACTACACTGGCTTCCAGTTCGGTTCAGAATTGATTTTAAAATCCTTTTATTTGTTTTTAAAGCACTAAATGGGCTGGCTCCGGCCTATATAGCTGAACTCCTCCAGCGCTACACCCCAGCCAGAGCTTTAAGGTCTGCTGACCAGCTGCTGCTGGTAGTGCCCAAGACCAGGCTCAAAACCAGAGGGCACCGAGCCTTCGCAGCAGCGGGCCCTAGGCTCTGGAACACTCTGCCCCTCCATGTGAGGTCGGCCCAGACCCTAGGGGTTTTTAAATCAAAACTAAAAACACACTTCTTCTCTCTGGCTTTCTAGTTAGAGCGGAGCACGACTCCTGACTTTTCCGTGTGTTTTATTTTTATTTTGTTTTTAAGATATATCTGTTGTAATTTATTGTCGTTTATTGTGATTTGTAGTAATGTGTTTTTATTACATGTACAGCACTTTGGCTCGACCAAAAATCGCTTTTAAATGTGCTATATAAATAAAACCTGATTTGATTTGACACACACACACACACACACACACACACACACACACACACACACACACACACACACACACACACACACACACACACACACACACACACACACACAACACACACACACACACACACACACACACACACACACACACACACACACACACACACACACACACACACACACACACACACCACACACACACACACACACACCCACACACACACACACACACACACACACACACACACACACCACACACACACACACCACACACACACACACACACACACACACACACACACACACACACACACACACACACACGAGTATTGGAAGCAGCTTTCCCCCCAGGGAGAAATTCACCTTGTGTCCTAGAAGCATTCAAGTCTATGAGTCAGTCCATCTCGTAGTGCAGACAATGTGCAACCGTTGCCAAGTGAGAGCCAAGTTTAAGTGCTCCACTTGAGCTCTTCTCTGTGAGAAATGAGTGCAGCAGGCAAGTGAGGGAGGAGGGGGCATGAACTCTAGTAGAACTGCTGGAGGGTAGGAAGAGGCAGCGAGACTCGCCTCACTCAGTACCAGGAGGAGGGGGGGCTGTACTTACTATCCCTGGGAATTTGGGGCTCTCTGCGGGCTCGTGGTTAAAGCTGCTGCTGAAGCTAGTGGAGAATGTGTGCGGCTTCTTGAAAGTAAGACCCACGGCATCCATAGACTGGCTTCTGCTGCGGATCACCCGCTACGGAGAGAGACGAGGAGGAGGAGATACATTCAGAGGGCGCTGACCACTGTGACCCTTCAGCATCGCTGTACGGCGCTACGGGCCGAGAGGAGCCTCGCGGCGTTCCCTGAACACTGACCGCTACAGGCAGAGCGCCGGCCTGATGCTAATCCCAACAGACAAGGAAGCGACAGAGAACAGTGCTAAGCTTTAAAGCCCGAAGGGGGGGTTCAGATGAGTCACTATGTTAGAAAGGTGGTAAGAGAAGAGAGGGGAAGGAGGACCAAGTGGCTCACAGATGACCGACCATACTGAGTTTAAACACAGCCAGAGGTTTTAAAGCCCACTGCACCTCTCTGAAGGCATGGAACAGAGTGAAGGCATCTGATGGTGAAGAAACATCTATCCATTGGCCTATATTTGATGACATACAAAGATGACAGAATCATACAAATAAGGGACTAGTGATTGAACACTGGAGCATGCAGAAAGAAAAGCAGCACAACACAGAAAGGAGGCATGAGGGAGAAAAGCTGGGAAGAAGAAGTGGTGTGTTCCAGCAGGTAGAAGCAGCAGAGTTTTGTATTCAAATGATTCAGGAAGATTGATAGACCCAACTTTGCAAAAAAGAAAAGGACAATCCTAAGAGACTGCCAGAGAAGAAACATTGGACAGCTTGTGGTTAATAGTAATACTGTATTTTCCAATTATTTATGATTCGTGTGCAGTAACAATGATCTAAAAGTCTTATAATGACAGTTAAAGTATATTTTGACATTTTGGGAGTTGTACTTCTTCAAGTGAGTTAGATGAGACGTTTATAATCACTCCATTATTATATAAGGCTAAAGCCAGCAGCAGGTTTTCTTATCTGAGCATAAAGACTGGAAATAGGGATGCTAAATAACCCAATTTATGTCATTTGATTTAAACTGTATAAACCAATATATGGATATAGTATAATGGATTATTCTGTCTAGGCTAGTTGTTTCCAGACTTCATTTGTAGAAAGTCAAACAATAAGTCTGATAAATTCAAGCTCTCTGTAAATAATAGTTTTCATATCTTAGTCTTTGCTTAAGTTGTAGATTTTAAATGATAACACAGGACTTTGATAATGCAAAGAACTTTATGATAATTGTTTTGTTCGCGCTGTTTTCGTGAAGCAGTCAGTCTGAAGCTCCGGCCTTCGCTGCGGCCTCTTCAGTTACCTTGAAGGACTCGAAGAAGCCCCCTCCTCCTGCACCCCCGTTTTCCAGTTTGTCGTCGTCTCCTCCGACACCCATCATGGCCTGGCTGTTCACATGGATCTCCTCATAAAGAGTCTCTAACAAGGCCGACCTTGTTCGCTCCTCACACACACAAACACAAAGAGGCAAATTAAATACATATTTGGAAAATGACAGAAATGTTTTAAAGGCTTTTCAACAACTCACCTCTAATTTGGCAAACTTCTCAGCTTTGTAACAGGCATACTCTGCATTGATGAGCTTAGTAAAAAGGAATTCCTGGAATTCAGGGCCCTGGAAAGAAAATAGTAACAAAGAAAAAAGACATCATGTTTGAAACCAAATGATGAAGTGGAAAGTGCACTGGCTCGGGATGCAGTAGTTTAAGTCACAAGCTTTGTTTTCTCTTACTTTCTTAAAAATAGCAGGGTTCGGTAGAGCCGGGCCGAAGAAAGGTACATCATCCCGCGCCGTCACTGACACCTAGGAGTTAAGTGAAGTTGAATCAAGCATTTATCTTAGAAGGTGAAATCTGCTAAATAGTGAGGGGAATAAGTCACCTTGTAGAGGACATTGTCGGAGCAGGGGTTGACCACTTGGACCACCATGTAGCCGTGCAGAAAGTTGGAGGCGATCATATCCGGAACAAACGGAGTGTTTTCATCTTGAAATAATATGGCCACAATGTCGTTCCCTATGTGTCGCTTTCTCTGCAACTGCAAAACAAAGGCAATTATTTTTTGATATATGTAAATATTGGTCAATAAACAATGCAAGACATGAACAAAGAAAGACATAATTATGAGGACAGGTTTCATTCTTCCTGTAATTGAATTGGGAAAACGATAAGTAAAAGACACTTTCCAGTTGTTAATAAAGCCTTTTTTTATTCAAATAACACTATTTTAACTTCTACTGTATAACAACACAAAGCTTGTTTTAAAGGAAAGGTGTCATGCTTTTCCGGTTATTACCCTTGTGTGTTATGAAGGTTTTTATGCATGTAAACGGTGTGCCGAGTCAAAACCCTCAAAGTACACCCTGTAGCGAGTAAAACTCTAACACAGAAAATACCTCCCCAAAACGCCTCGTTGGAGATACGTCATTGTCCATTTGATTCTTCCGGGTACGGCATGATGTCAAGCCGTACCTGGAACGAAATGGACCAATCCGTGGAGCCGTTACGTTACGTCCGCGGAGCCGTTACGTTAAGCCCCCGCTGATTGGTCCAAATTGACCAATCCACGGACTTCCTCACACACATCTGTGTGCAGGGAGCAGGCAGCTCAGCTGATTTCTCCTCCCTGGCTGCAGGCTGATAACAGACAGTTGGGATCGCGGCGAAATTCTCTCTGCAGACCCATTCTCACAGCGTTTATCAACCTTTTTCTTACTCAATATCAAGCCACACTTATTGTTTTTACTTCGGCTGTGACTTTGTGTGTGCTCAGGATGAGTTTGGCTGTGTTTCGCTATGTATCCTAAACAAGGAAGCAACACCTCCACGGAGCTCAGCGCGATTCACAACGTCCCGACCAATCAGAGCACACTGTGCTCACAGGGAGGGTGGGGGCTGGAGCTTTGGGAGCTACAACGAGCCGTTAAAGGCAGAGAGTGAAATTCAGTGAATACACGTAGTTTACAGAGATGCTGTATGAGAAACCAATGTGAGTTTGGAAAAATGCACAGTATTAATCTATTTTAGTATACCTCAACAATGGAATTATGATCAGTGGAAATGGCCATGACACCTCTCCTTTAAAAAAGAAGATGAAATGACTCCACCAGGGAGTGCTGTTTCTCCTGTCAGCCTGAACAAATCCTGATTGGCTCTAAGGAGCTGCCAATGCAACACCCACTACCACTAGGGAGGCTGAATGTATAGACCTTGACTCATCTGTGTTTGTACAAACACGTTTAGCAAATGGTGTTAGAGCTTCGGCTAATTAATCAGTGTTAGTGTGAATATGTGAGGCAGAGACAGAGGAGGACTCGGTGCTTTAAACCCTGAGAGGGAGGAGTGCTGCTGACAAATGCAAACGTTAAAGCATCCATTTAAAGTGATTCATTTTTACTACCAGGGTTTTTCTTTTGGTTAATATATGCTGCAGGGAGGTACATGCAAAATATGGCTCTAGAGGGAACCTGTCTGACTGCTTGCAGTAAATCATAAAAGGTGTGTTAGTATTGTATTACAGTACCTGCTGGGTGTCCCCATCTGTGTAGGGCAGCTTTGTGGACACATGGAACATGACCTCTTTGCTGCGGTAGTTGCAGTAGATGGATTCGGTGCCTGTCTGCCCGTGAGTCACGTCTAACCCCCCACGGAAACTGCAAGAACACAGAAGCATGTCTAACAAGATATTCTCCACCATCGCTGCATTACCATGTCCATGACCATCATGCCGTGAGCATTATATCATGTAAATTGCGGTTGGCACCATGTTGTGAAGTGTATAGTAGAGTATATAATGTGCCTTTAAGCCAGCGATAGATCCTTACCCTTTAAAGTTGTGCAGCTCAATTTTCTCTCCTAGAAACTCCAGGAATTCTACAAAGGCAGGACTCTCTTCACTGTTGCTAAACACATCTTCCTCTGTCGTCTGTAAGCAGTAAAACTCATCAACATCAAGGCTCAGAGGACAAAATGATTTCAGCAGCAGTGACGGGAATGATGTGTAATGTATGCTACAATCTTAGCGTGCAATAAAAACAACAATTATGTCTGAGAAGCTAAATTAAAACTGATCACAAGAGGTAAGATTTGCATATTGTAGTGCCAGAAATTGCACAAGGACTATTTTATGTAAGGTGTGTTTGCTCTCTTATTCAAACACACTGCATTTGCATTTCGGATCAATGACAACAGTGTGTATGGCAGAGGGTTTAAAGATGGGCTTTTGGAAAGCTTCTTCTTTATGATGAGCTGTGACTGACAGTTGATTATCTATTGAGAGCAAGTGGATGGGTGATGAGACAACAAAAGCTTGTTTCAACACAAACAAACCTGAGAGGAAGCTGCTCTTGCCTATTCTGCTGTGTTTCCCGTTCACTATGTGCCTACTTAACCATCATGCTTTTCTCCACTTAGTACCCCTACTGAATAGCAAATGTCCGGAAGGATGAGCAGAGGGCCCTCGCTGGCTTTGTGAGATGGCCCTTGGCTCACTAACAATGTGTTTAACCATGTATTTAAACAACTGCAGGCTTCAAGGAATCACTGGTGAAGATCTCTACACACCGAGGTCTCGATTCAAAGGTGCCCACGGAAAAGGATTCAATAGGTCATATGCCCCCCCCCTCCCCCAACACACACAAAGTAAACAATAGGGCTGTGATTGCCTCAGGAAATGAAAGGGAGTGTTGATGACAGCCACAGTTACTGGGCTGGACTAAAAGCTATAATTAAAAATAACAATGTATAGTACATTCTCAATTTTCAAAGACTGAATTCAATTAATATTAAGGATTCATGCACAGTCAAATACAAATGTTTTCAGTTTACATCCAAATTGTAGCTTACCTGTCCAAACTTTTGATAAATGACTCCAAACTTGAAATTGTTGCTTAGCACATGTTCATCAAAGGTGACAATAAGTCTTGAAGCCTGAAGAAATGAAGACAGTTAAAACAAGAAACATGAAAGGGTCACTGTTTTTAAGAATGTCCGGTGCTACTGTAATATGAACACTTTAATAGAGTTTTCTTTCTGTAGCTTTTCATTAAGTATGGATTAACAAAACCCACTGAATCCTCTTTTGTGCAAAAATGTATCGAACATTTTATTTAAAGATCACATGACGCTTTAGCCGTCTGAGTTAGGTATAAATTAGGTTGGCATTTTCCTTTTATTTTACGTACATTCCTTCTTTCTTTAGGACAGAAAGGAAACATTTCATCCCAATCCTTTAAATCAGGGGTGTCAAACTCAATTTCATCGTGGGCCACATTAGCATTATGGTTGCACTCAAAGGGCCGGTTGTAACTATATAAATATACATATATAAATACATAATATATATGAAATAATGTATTATATTACATTATTGCCTCTGCATTGGATTTTTATTGGATAGGGTAATAACTTCGTAATTAACCACGTCTGAAAGCAGAAGTCTAGGGCAAATAATTGCAAGTCTCTTCAGTGCGCATGTCACAAAATGAGATGCATTGTGGGACATATAGTTTATGGGCAACCTGCTTCTGTAAGATAAGATAAGATGGACCTTTATTAATCCCTGTGGGGAAATTCAGTAGTTTAACAGCAACAGGGTAAGATTGAAAAACAGGACAGCACAGATTCACACAGATTAATAAAATTAAGAATAAATCAAAGATAACAAGAAAAAATGATAAATAACTATAAAATAAGAAATTAATTAAAAGGAACATATATAGATATACTGTAAAGTAGCGTGTAACCGTATAATAAACGTATTATATTCTTTGCAAGCTCTTGTGGGGCCACATAAAATGAAGTCGCGGGCCGGATTTGGCCCCCGGGCCTTGAGTTTGACACCCCTGCTTTAAATCATCAGATGTGTAGAACTGGACAGGACATGCAAAGCAGATGAAACTATACAAATCAAACCACATCTTACTTTTGGATAAAGGACAGGGAAAAAACGGTCCACGTTGACGTCTTCACAGACAAGCTTGGATAAAAGAAAAAAAAAAGGGACCAATGTTAGAGTGCAGTTCGATGCTATCACAGAACATCAATCTCTGCATAACATAAACATCTCTTTTTACCTTGGCCATTTGCACCACATTGGGAAACTCTGTCAGACAGGAAATGGGAATCACATCATGGTAGGTTTTCAACTTGCTCCTGGTGAAGGCATAAAACAATTACCGTGGTTTCAAAGCCATAAAATGTGATGCAACATTTCTCAGAAGCTATCAGATGGGAAAGAGATGATCCGGTATGATCCATCACACTTTCTCACCCTCGCCTCTCTTTGCCTTCTCCCCCCCTCCCCCCCTCCCTCCCTCCATCTCCACCCACTTCCTGGCCTAAATAGTCCATCTGTTACTCTGCTGTGGATATATAAGTGCTGTTGTCACTCTCCCTTGCTTTATGACTCTTATGAAAACACCCGTGATGGGAGGATGTGTTTATCGAGTCAATATGGACCATTTAGAAACAAGAAAGTGTAGTAATCTGCATGCATTACCTGTTGATTGCTAAAGTGCTGACATTTTGTTTTAGCTTACACAATAATTACTTGAGTTGCAGATGTGCAGGATACAGAAATAAAGATATTCCTATGTAAATTAAGCACACTTAAACTCCACTATGTTTGCATAATGAGCATTACCTGAGCATTAGACGGAGATGTTCCTGGTCACCAATCACATCGTACTTTACAGAGAACACCAGATGTCCGAGGGCACTGTCCACTGAATAGTAATTAAAGTGCTCCTGAGGGCACAGTACAAGGATACGGCCATTAGTACAGTATCAGTCATAAACAGACACACACACAGTTGCATGAAACATGTGCATGCACTCCAATCATAACCCATATCCTTCCAATCTTAGTCCCTTTTCTTCTTCTGTTGTTCTCCTACAGGCAGATCAAATGTGTTCATATTATGCGAGTGTAAGAACAGGTGGCAGAGCCTTATGCATCTTCATTAGCAACATTGTATGAGGTGCAGAGAGGCTTCTCGCTGATGGTGGTTTATTCAACTGGGATTAGCTTCTTCGTTTCATTACTATAATGAGCACAAAGTGAAATTGACTATGAAATATTCTATGAGATTTATGAGGCTCATTTGATGAGGAAGGAAGCTGTTATAAAGACAGCCGATGTGAGTATGACTTCAGTTAAATCACTTCAAAGGTAGTGTTAGATCACACCAAAAGTTGCATAGCTGACTTAATTGCTAAATAAACAAGGCTATTGTATGTTCCTTTCATTATAATTAATTGCTTAATTGCAAACATTAAAATCATATTCAAGAAAAACTATGAGCTAAGTCAGAAAATCAAATGTCATAGGGTTCAGGGTCCATATTTAACATCATTTGCGCGACTCATTCAAGCAGTTTCTGAGTTGTGCAGTATCTTCGGCTGTATTTGCTGTACTTCATAATGTCTCTTCCCTGAGATGTTTTGGACTTCACTAATATTGCATGCTGTAAACTATTTATATGCGCAATGTGTTAAAGAGGCCCTGTTATGCTTATGTTCAGGTTCATGTTTGTGTTTTGTGCCTCTACTGTGACAAAAAGTGCTTTATCTTCTGTCTGAAACCAGAGCCCAGACTGCTCTGATTGGTTAGCTGGCCGGCTGTGTTGTGATTGGTCAACAACTTAGAGATGTCCCGCCCCTTAACACCAACAATCATAATAGGGCCTCATTGCTCTGTGAACTTACACAGGCTGGAAGGGGTCTGATAATGTAACATATTACATTAGCATGTGATCATCCATGTCCGAGCAAACATTTTGATATAAACGTGTGTATATATATGTATATATATATATATATGTATATATATAATTGTGGTTATATACCTTTATTATCTCTCTGACGTCCGTGGTGCCAAGTCATAATTACAACCCCATGCTATTATAAAGAAAGCTAACACAATATCATTATAGTAATTATTCAAATTGGCTGTATTTTTATATATTTTTTAAAACAGCAGGTGATTGCATGGGGATGAGTGTGGATTGTTATGTAATTTATTTTGAATAAGAAATCTTGAAAATAAAAATCTAATAAAAGCAGGGACAAGATGAAGATGTACAAACTAAGATGGGATCTAACAAGGCTGAATATTTTATATATGTTATGCATAGCCTTTGTTTTCTATTGTTTTTGTTTCTAATTGTGTAACAGGTTGTCTTTAAGCTTGCTTACATTGTCACAAATACTGTTTTTTCAGTTCATTGTTTGCTTTTTCAATATGCCAAAGAAAAGAAAGAAAGGAAAAATGGTACATTCTGTTAAAAGCAATCTCTCTCTGTGTTATGACAAAGCGGCTGACCTTGCCCAGGAAGTGTTTCCGGTAGATCATAGCTGTTGTGTTACACTCCAGCTTGGTGCGGGTGTTCGGGGAAAGAGGTGGCGGCGGTTCTGTTTCTGCGTCGCTCATCTCATGGTTAGTCCCTTCAATCCAGTAACCCCCAAACTGAGGCAGCAGGATGAGAGGAAAGGGGCTTTTTCTGCCTAACACCTGCCACAAAAGGCAAAAGTGTTGAAAAAGAATAGGGTGTTAATGTGAAAGTCATGTTAGGACACTTTTGAAAGTTAGCTTATGCTTCAGTGATAAACTAGCACAAATGGTAAAAAGTGCACCTGCTGCACATCATCACCCTACCTCATGGACACTGGGGTATGGAATGTAGTCCTCCTCAGTCTGAAAAACAAATTCAAAAAATGTTGTTCCGTCATAAAAGAATACAAATAACAACAATATAATCCCAGAGGCCCCTGGTTCAGAGTTATTGCATAACTGCTATGCAATGAAAATGAGTCCAATGCAGTTTTGCAACAACAGTGTAAATGCATTGCTTGATTTCCATCATTTTGCACATTGCTGTTTTGAATATTGTATAACCTCATATGTCATATCCTGTCAAATTCTTTGCTGCTAAAGAATTCACCATTTCTGTCTGCAGAGCATGGCATCAGAGGATATATGATTCTGAAAGCCATGTAGGTATAACAATGATGGCAAGGCTTGAGAGCATTGCACTGCATTATGAATACTGTCTGCTGAAGTAATCAGCCTGTCTGGCAGAGAAAGATATTGCGGAGCGGTCGTGAGACAATGCCTGCATCATGTGAATGAAATCGTGTCTCTAAATGGAGAGCCGTACCTTGAGTTGGGGAGAAAAGGTGCATCTCTGCTCATCCATCCTGTTGCCCTACAAGAGAGGGCGAGATAAGAAACCCAGAAAGAGAAAAGGGTCACGCTCAGTCATTAACACAGCGGCTGGTTTTGCATTGAGTCTACGCAGATTTCTAAATACAAACACTTGTCGTTGATTAGACGAACAAAACAAGTTATATAATCATGTACTACAATACCACAAAAACAAACCAAAAAAAAGTATCAACGTGATTACATAACGACACAGTTTTCCCAAGGGTTATACGCAGCAGGCAACCAAGCAAACTCGGAGAGGAACAGATGGAAGGATACAGAAAGAGTTCCATTACACACACAGAAAGCAGACAGATAGGGAAAGATAAAGGGTGCTTTAGAGCAGGCATTTGGGAGAGTCTGAAACGTCTGTTAGCAAAGAGAGGAAGTGTGGTAATAAGACCCCATGGATTAAAAAGGATGCTGAGCTAAGTGACACTATAACTCTGACACACCACTGGACCGGAGTGTATGTGTGAAAGAGAGTAACAACGTGGGAGAAAAAATGGTTGCAGTGATACTAAATCAGGGCGCCTGGCTTCACAGAAGACAATACATCACAACAATATATTTTCTGGCAGTGGAAAAAACACAGTACTGCATCAAACACCCCGCTGAAGAGGGATATTTCTTTATGAAATATGTTGTTATCTCAACAGACACTCCCAGACATGAAAGATGTGGCTGCAGAAAGCTATTATGACTCTTATGAATAGAAATGTTTTGTAAAGAATGACATGTGTAGTGATGCATTAAATTGCTACACTTAACATGTATGAGTGTACATAAATCCATCATAATACTCTAAGCCTAATGTGTTTGGGATCACATGATTAAAATGAACATCCTTTTCAGAGGTGTCAGTGAAAAGGAGACAGTTTTTAAGGTGAGATAATAAGCTTACAGCGCTGTCAGCCAGTGTTACAAACAGGATGTTAACAGCTGGGAAACACATATAATGATCTGTCAAATATCCTCAGAAACCAGCAGACTTGATTTCCTTCTCATTTACACAAGTGTTGCAGCCGAGGAGAAGGCCAAAGTGCTGCAGGATTAGGAAGAGACACACTCGCTGGTTAGTTGCTTGGTGAGTGCAGCTGAGGAAGCCGAGACAAAATACGGAGATCAACGCGTCATCTTACCTGCATCTTTTCAATCATTTCAAATAAATCTGGGGTCTGGGGAGAGGAGAGTGAGATGAAAGGTTTTGAGTTTCTTTGTTGTGTACTCACAGTGTTTTATTTTTACTGCAGTGAGTCTGATTGCGAAAGTTCAACATATCCCATGGCTGTAAAATAATACAAAAATAATATATATGTTTATGTTTTCTTTCTGACCTCAATACGTCCTTATATTTAGACAAATATTGAAATGGAAACTCTTTAGTTTCTCACAAACTGGGCTATGACATTTTATAACTATGACATGAAATGGCCATTAATCATTGTTTTTACACCAAATAAGGTAATATGTCATGTATAATGAGTTATACATATTCTATATGATAACACACAAAGAAATGTGCTGTTTGTTACAGTGACATGACATGCTGGGGGTCTATAAGCCCCCATAGAGATCTAACTCCGTGTTTGACTTCATCAAGGTTAAAAACTCCAAAGACAGGAATCCAAACAGACTTATTTGGCGTTTAGGAAGGATAGAGCTGCGTTAATAAAAGTACTCAACACTCATTATAGATATGGAAAACATGAAAATACATTGTAATTAAGCCGAATCTATGAGAGCCCAAACAGAAGTAATTTGTATTGGAAACATCTGTTCAAGTTCACGCTTATCAGCAATTTATATGAAATTAGTCAAAGTCACGACATAGCAAGGGGATATACAGTGTAAACTATGTTTTTTGAGCTGCTAAAAAGAGGCCACGGTGTCCAGGACCCCCTACAAAAAGTATTATTGTCAATTGCTCAATAACTTCTTAGCGGTCAAATATCGAACATCGTCATTCGGGAAAACTTTTGTCCCATCACTTTACACAACAGTAGGTTATGTAAAGTTGGAAAAGCACACACTTTATTGTCAGTTTTGACACATCGCCAAAGTTCAGAGACAATTCTTTATTAATTAATGACCATATTACCTGAGCATGCCTTCCCTTGTGGTTTGTCCCACATTACACAGTCATGTGTGTACACCTGCCTACTTCTTTTGATCCCAATCACAGCTGTTTGTGTAAAGTCCGTCAAAGCTTTCATGCACCACACTTGCACGCATCAGTTGAGCATGACGACTGTGCAGAAAATGGTAAATTACAACAGTCCATGGAAACGTCTGGAGTAATAAAGTGACAGCTGAAAGGCTCAGCCAGTAAAGCCTGACAAAGTCAAACAGTATATGTGCAGAGCAATCTTGTCGTAGCTTTCAGTATGAGTAAAGTCCTCCACCATGTGCAAACAATAGTCAGCCACGATCCCTGAAAGTAAATAAACCCAGCTCTGAAAGCATTAACCAGAGACTACAACAACAGAAGATAAGAACCCTATTTCCTATGGACAGCTTTAGCCATAAAAAAATGTGTCATGACATACAGCCCAAAAGAAGAGACACCCGATAATAGAGCTAGAAATGTTCCCCAACAAACGTATATTTAAAAAAACTGTGACGTCATGAACTGTCAGGTTCTGCATTTGCATTTCTCTTGGAGAGGCTGTTGTTCAAGCCTCTGCTGAAAAGACTGACTAGTTCCTTATAAAGTGTACTATCTAGAGATGATTTCATCCTGCATGTTTCTCAAGTAAAGATACTTACATTGCCGGGTTTTATCCAGCGTGCCTTTGTCACCAATGGAGCATTGAAGTGGGTTTCATGACTGTCAGCCATTTCTCACACGGGTGTCCTGCAGCTTCAAATGATGTTTCTAGACTTCAACAGGTTTGAATGAAAGTCGCCTTCTGACTGCTGTGTCTTTGTCAGATAGTGGACAGTTGAGAGTGTCCCACTGCGACAGCAAAGGTAGCATCCCCGCTGACTGTAGCCATGACTGACAAAGAGACGGATCAGACGAAGTCGAAGACAAGATCCACAGGCCCTCTCAGCGTGTGCTCAAACATACAACATTATCAGCAGGTGTATGTCTCAGGTTGCATGCAAAGGCAACTGCTGCTACTGCTGCTTGAAGTGTCAAGCAGTAATCCTCTGACTGACAGTAGGTGTCTGTTCCTTAGCTCATCCCTCTTTGTCACTGTGCAGCATTGCTGGAATAAATCCAAAACACATATCTTCCACGTCAGTCTTTATCACTGACACTATCTTGATTCAGGCTGACAGGTGGCAACAAGAAGAGTCTCTTCTACTCTCACAGACATGTCCTCAAACAATCTCCTGTTCACAGCAGACCCACTACACTAGATGCAACAACATATACAATAATGTGTTATTAGAAATTATAGCTATCTGTGAACAAAATAATGTTAAAGGAGTTTGAGTAAAGGACACAGAACTCTTAAAATCTATTTAAAAAAACATGCAAACTGCATTGGAAACTAAGTTGTGATACATCAAAATAAAGAAACCTCATTTAAGCAGAAACAACATTTTGCAGAGATAACCAGTCGAGGAGTTGTGGAAGCCTGGTTAGCGCTTAGCGGCGGTGCAGGTGTAAGTGCTTTCATTATGAGAGCTAATAGGCTTGTCATTATAACAAGAGGCAAATTAAATGTGCAAGACTTACTCTCCTTTCTCCTGTGTGCATCGTCACAGAGCTCATTATAACTTGGCTCGTCAGTAAAGAATATCAGAAGGATTTAGGGGCTCTGATTGGTGTAACAAATCAGATTGTATGGTAACACTAAGATATACAGTATATGGAGAGACAACACTGTCCACGACCACTGGACAGTGTGTGGGTATGTTCGTGTGTCCTGAAGCTGTTGCTCTAAGGGTGTTGCTTTAAGAAACTGGATTAGCATCTGAGGTCTTGCATTGTGATACATTTGTAGTGATCACCTTGGTTTGTGATCTGTAACTGTGAAGCAAACTCTGAAAAAGTATAACTATTTTGAGTGAGCAATGCATGATGTCTTTAAGAGATGCACAGCATAAGGGTCAAATGTAACAGTTTACAGACAGTGATGGGTGTTCTCAGATATTTTAGTAGATATTTTTCAGCCCTTGAGTTAATGTACTTCATTAGGCGGTGACCGAAAGACCCGGTTGGGTTAATTGCAGATTGACCTGGTCTTTGCAGGGCTCTGATTAAAGTGGTACTCCCCTCTGAGTCTTGCCACACTCAGGCCTTGTAATACGACAGGACATCGCACTATGCATCACATGTGAAATAGAAATGCATTTTAACTGATGACACCCTTGAGTGTATGGACACAAATGTTTTATGTCTGTCAAATTTCAAAACAAATCTTCTGTTTCTCCTTCAGTGAAGACAAATGGGAGAAATACTTTGAGCCAAGTTTTGAATACAGTCATCGGTGTACATACAGTATCTTGCTGCCATTACATGCAATCTGTAGACAAACAGAAGTCTCAAGAATGCTCTCCTCACGGCTGACTAATTGTAACTTGTGTCACCTACAGATGGTGTGTGCTGCAGGGATCAGGAGTGACTTTTTACAAAGTCCCAACCGACAAATTCCCCTATAATCCCTTTCTCTTCCCACTCCCGCTGCTCTACTCAGATCAAGTCAGATTGGGAGAAAGGTAAGCCCCATCAGCTTTGTACAGGTCCCAAAATATCCCTGTGGCTTATTACAATGATTAAGACTTACTAAAATGTGGGCATGAAGATTCTGACAGCAAAAAAGACATGTATTGTGACAATCTGAATAGACGTATTAAAATGATAGCCTCACATTCTGCCCTTTATTTTGTATCACCAACATGTCATATTCCTCATCAAAGCGAATGAGGAAAGACAACAGTACGAGGAAGTAAACAGATCAAGCTAAGCTGATTCTTAAATGTTTAAACAAATGTATATTTAAAGTGGACTTTTACACCTTTTTGCAGGAAATCCAACCAAGGTCAGGGCATTAAATGACCGTAAACTACTTTGGAATAAAAGATATTGGATTATTTTGGGCTCACCTTTGTAAAAAGAATGCAAAAAGTGTTCATTATTTGAAACAACGACTGAAGTTAAACTAGGTAATTGGCACACATATCTTAATAACAATAGAGAACCACACAAAGAGTGATTAAACATTACTGAGTTTCCCATTTGGTGACACATCCTCCTTGGTGGTGGGAGTGAAGAAGTTTGTCTTTTGATTAAAAAATGACAATTACTCAGACAGGCTATATTTTGTTTGCTTTTATGAAATAGATTGGATAGAGAAATTGACGTCATGAAGCTGACAATTACATGCTAAAAATAAATCAGTTTTGATTAAATCAGGCGAACATTATTATCCCAGACACAAAGCTTTGTGCAGTCTAATTTAACAAGTTAAACAAAAGAAGACAAGAATAAAAAATCAAAGCTGCACGCACTAAATCAGAGTGATTAAAAGTGACTGAACACCGAGCAAGAGTATCCAGACAGAGGCAGGTGTGGAGACAACATGACAAACAGAGATCACAGAGGGAAGGGTCACACAGGGGTCCATCAGATAAGGTCAGGGGTCAAAGTGTAACCCCCCCAAGGTCTCCTCCTACCTTGTGGAATGGAGAGCTGGTGTATGGGAGTGTAGGCTGGAACAGCTGGGGCTCTAGTGTTGCAGAAATTCGGGGGTCACTCCCATCTTGTTTCCTACAATGAGACGTTTGAAAAAGAACATTGAGTCAGAAAAGGTCAGTCAGGCAAGAGGACAACGAAAGGTAAAGCCTCAGGAAATGTTGCTGATTTGTACAATGGGCTCAATCCCAGAGACTGAGGGGGCTTGTAATTATTCACAAATATATCTGTTTATATGAATTATCTTCTATTTTACTGATCCATTATCAGTTTGTTGTATTTATATCTCGTGAAAGCAATAAAATGTTAAAATCTGACTTCGGCTGACATTTCAGACATGCAAAATAAGACTTCTTATTTATAGCACTGTAAAAAACAGAGAACACAATCTGCAAAAGACCTCTATGAATTAATTCAAGAACTGCATCATTTAACTGCTGGGAATAATCAGTTTTGTAGAATATGCATACATATATACATGCCCAGATGGTTTCCTTACCCCTAAAGTTATTCATTGTAAGTCTAAAATGTCTAAAAACAATTATTGTCATAGGATCATACACAAGTCTGACACACAAAAAGTCATTTCCAAAAGATACCACATTGTGTTCATTTTTCAAAATGCTTCAATGTTTTAGTGCAGCTGCTGTTCACAAACACTTGAGGGATCTAGGGACACCATACCCAGAGTTCCCCCTTTATTCAAATAGAGCATCTCTCTTCTTTAAACTCAGGACAGTAGCACATACAACTTGGCAATACAGTCATGCTTCCTTTCTCTAAATGTTATATCGGATCCGTGGTGGCTTTATCCCGACAGGATCACTGGTCGATTCCCCCCGCTGAATATGCTCCCTCCTTATTGACACTGACAGCTAGACAGTTTTCACAGCAGGCTTTCAATTTGTCTGAATAATTCTATCTATTTCATACACACAGTGATCGATCGGTGTGAAAGTGGATCTGAAATGCTCATGTATGCAGAGATAATGCAGAGTGAAAAATGTATATTGCTGTGTGTGTGTCAGATTACACCAGCCACTATAAAATATGTATAATATCTCTTATATCATCTTTTATGATGGTGTGTTAGGCACTGGTCAAAATGCACCATTCTCCACAGGCAGCGAAATATCATTCAATGACTCAATGCATGATATTGATATGGGAAGTTGTGGCTCAGGTTTGCATTGGTCCAATAATTGTATTATATACAAAAAAAAACAATATATATTATCGATCTGTAATACAAATTGATTTCATTGGCTAAACAAGCATCGTTACAATCAGATACAAAAGATGGAGGTGTGCACCTTTAATGTTGATTTTCTATCCGACAATAAACATTGACATTTCATTTGAATTCTTTGGCAAAATGCTCTTTTTTTTGTTGCTAACAATAGTGATGTCAGTTGGATATGGTTAGGTCAGATCTGTTGAATATTAAATCATCAATCTTTCCTCACAACAATTGTGTTTTTATTACCGTCAAATGTAGGTAAACAACAGGTAATTAACTATCTGTATTGGCCATGACGAGCACATAATAATCCATTATCGGCTGAAAAAAAAATCCATGTCGTGCATCTCTACACTAAATGAGACAATATTCTCTTGGCCTTCGAAAAACAAATCTTTTTTTTTCAAGTAGATAGTGAAGCTGCCGGTGCTGAAACAGAAATTAGTTACATGAGGGAATCTATGGAGCTGTGCTGGCCGGCTGCTGAGGATGAATATAAGACCGTCATTCAGGAGGGACAGTGACCGAGATAGAGATCTGTTCACACACAGAGTGTACTCAGAGTCAAATACAGGTAAGGAAGAGAGAGAGAGTGAATCATTAACACACATCGCTCTCTGCTGTTACACAATAAGTCCATTTTCAATCAATAATAGTCCTTTATCACCAAAATAAAGCTGGAACAATGGTGAATATTAACCTTTTCACAGCAGGCTCAATACACATGAAAGAGGCTATATAAGCCCAGCAGCAGCTCTCCCATGGGAGATCAGGATACGATAGGGCATCAGCTGCCCTCAACTCTTAATTAGAACTGATGCACAATAGATGGACACATACACACAAGCGCACACACACACTAACACACACACAAACACACACACACATACACACATACACATGTGAAAGAAAATGTTTTCATTACTAACTGTAGCAGCCTAACAGTTGGTTTTAAGATAGATGTTTTCCAAAATAGAGATAATTATTGTTTATATGCATCTGCTTGTCTAAAGTCACAGTGTGTTATGCATACACACAGTACATTACAACTATAGCCTCATATAAATAGGTGATATGTCAGATATAATAGCTATGTTCAACTCTGGCAGCATCAAACACACATAAGAGTGAAAGTGAAAGAAGAAATATCCTGCCTAGTCCTACACAAACTCATTCTTCATCCCATGTTGTGCCACACACACACACACACACACACACACACACACACACACATTACACACCGTCTCTTCACACTCGCCTGCCTGTTCTGCGTGGCATTAAAACATAAGACCCTGCTGCAGATCAGTTTGCATCACTAAGCCTCAGCTTCATCACAACACCAAAACAAATTACATAACACAACCCCAGCTGGTTAGCGTTGATACACAGAAATCAGCCGTGTCAGGATGTCACGGCGTGTAATCTGACTGCCTGATGTCCTGCAGGAGCGCAGCAGCAAAGTTACTCACACAGTGTCAGCTGGGCGCTCGCTGGGAAGTCCGGACAGTGACCAGCACTCTGGCAGATGACTCACTGTCTACGCTCCTGCTCTAGTAAAGCTCCCTCCCTCTCTTTTACACTTATATCTGTCTCCCTCCTCCTCTCTGTCCGGCTCCAGTCAGCTCACTTGCTTTCCATCAGCCGTTCACCTGCTGGCCTCACTCTCAGCTCTTTAGTGTCACACACTCCCACTGAGCATCCTCTCTGCCCCTGATTCTCCTCCCTCACTTTCCCTCTCTCCTCCCACTCAGTCTCTCACACACACATATGCGCTCTTGAGTTGTCACTTCCTCCATCTCCACCCTCTTTGTCTGCTCTGGAGCTCACACACACACACACACACACACACACACACGCGCGCATGATGTGGTCCAAAAAGAATCCCTCACTCTAAACTGTGCACCCACCCCCAACCAATAACACCTAGTCCTTACCCCTTCAAAGCTGGAGACCCTCCCCCCTTTTATCTGTGTAGGGGACGACTGAAGTCTGCCGCTTAAAGAGAAAGGAGAGCAGGGAATGATTAGGGTATTGGGGGTTGACTTCAATCCCCACACTGCCTCAGCCTGGGCTGTTGCTGTGGCAACCACATCAGCAAAAAAATAAAAAATAACACCAAAATTGAAATTCATTATGATGTGACGTGAACAAGGTAATTATGTTCAACATTAAGCTCAGAAGGAGTTGTTACCACCTTGATGCTCATTTTACAGGGTGAGTGTGTGTGGAAAGGTTTTTAATTAGTGACTCTGATTCAATCCCCAGCGAACATTTGCATTTCCTCCATGAAGCTACTATCCGCTGACTAATGTCACCAATACTGCCTTTTCCTGGTATTGATGTGTCAGACATGAAGAGATAACAAGGGATTACAGCTCAGTCCTAATACTGAGCACCATTAAGTGTTGTGTATTATGATAAAGAAAACAAATAATCCATTCAAATCAATGGACTAAAACTCGTTATTTGTAGAGACTTCATGCTGTTGTGGGACAATAATCTCCTTGAGCAATGATGTCATATGCGGGTCATTTTTTAGGGAAGAGCTCAGGACCAAGAGTGGAAAGGTTAAGAGATGTCAACAGTAAACATAACACATAAGAACACATTAAAGGACAGGCCGATGTTGCGTGTTGAGTGATATTTCACATGGACCATTGCAGCGGGTTACTATCAAATCAAAGCCACATTTATTTAGACTGGTAGAGTCAGACCTCACTGAAGACTAAACACTCCTTTATGTTGACGAAAATAACAAATAATAGCAGAACAAGGAGAAAAACCTGAGCATTGTTGAGCTTTATTTGGATTTCCTGTGAAGAGAATTGGTTTTAAATTGAGAGTATCCCCCCAGCTCCAATGTCCATTTTCAGCTTCCCACAGCAAATCTCAGGGATTCCCGTCCCATTAGCTTTCTGAAATAGCCTGTGTTCTCTCCAATCTCCTACCCCCACACCTTATCCTCCGAGATGTGCAACACTACTGATCATTTCCTCTCTCACCTTCAGGTTTTACAATCCAAACTCAAAGACCTGACCTTAAACAAGCCAAGTTATATTAGAATTAACAAGCAAAAATCAAGAATTTGTCATTATTTCAGCTTTTCTTGTTGTTAATTCTAATAAAACTTGAAATGTGTGTTCATTTGTCTTTAAACATATTCAACTTCATATAGATAACAATGATTTAAACGTGTGCTGAACAAAAAAAGCAAGCCAGCAGCTAAGAATGTAATCTTTACGATGTGTGTATGGGAGGGTGTGTGTGACCAGCCAGTGACCCCAATTGGCAGTTAAAGGTTTCGGCGTCCAATCACAGACACATTATACTCTGCAACATGTCAGAGGTCTGCTGCAGGAAAGATGGCCCGCTGTCTGAAATATGAATGAATGGTTATTTATGCACTACCATTGAGCACCTCCCACAGGTGGAGATCGAATTAGTGGTGGTGGACCTCAGGGGGGAGAAAAAGCCGGATGTTAGTGGGATGTGATGCCAGCAGTCAGCCTACATCACTGTATTCATGTTACGATGTTAATTACATGAAGGTCTAAACATTGTAGCAGAATTTAATGTCTTTACTTTCAACTTAATTGATTCACAGATAAAATAATGAAATAGATAAAATAATGTTTTTTTCTCAGAAATGAAAGACTGTCCTATTCACTTGTATGACATAAAAATGTACCCATGATAAATATTGATAAAGAATTTCCCTGTATTACGATTACTACCTAGATATTATATATACACATACATATTTTGAGTCATTGCTATAATCTCTGACCCAAGACATAAGTCTATCATATTTGTCCTTGCTTTTGCAGGACAATGTTGGATGTTGGAGGTCTGATGATTCCTCTGCTGTTTTTAGATTTGCTCAAACCCGCCTCCAGTCGCTGGTAAACAAATTTGTTGAGTTAATCAGCCCCACAGTTTGTTTGCAAGGCAAAATAGGAGAGCCAACTGCCAAATAGGAGAGCCAACTGCTCCATGATTTCTCTGCAGTACGCCTAAACCCCACTGTGACTGTGATTGTGACTGCGTTGATAATCATGCAGTGTTTATTTTGTATGTCTTGTTTTAAACTGAGAAATTGGGCTAGAGCATTAGGGGGCTTGTTAAGCAGATATGCAAAGTAGGCATGTCCATGATGACGTTAACTATGACCTTGTTTTCTCACAGTAGATCCTGTTAGGTAGTGACAACAGAGGCACAAAGTAAACAGTAAATAGAGTAAATGTTGTACATGCTGAGTATATCACCCCATCTTCTTAAATGCATCATGTAAGCAGACTGTTTGGCAGCTATTCACATTTCCTCAGTTTGTTTCTATGATTACTTAAGATCCAGGCGTATTACCACAATCCTTCATACAGTTAAAATAAACCAAAAAAACGCCCCTGATCTAAAAAGTGCATCGTAAACACAAACGCTGACGCCAACAAAATGTGGATACGACAATACCATTACCTTGATTAAAATTAAAGATTTTTTTTGAAAAATGTAATAACAATATGGGAATAGTATATAAACACATAATATAAAACCAAGGTCAATTTTTTTTTATTTATTAGGAAATGTTAAAATTATATCTTTAATATAATTTAAATAAAATAACCACTGTTTTAAAAAAGTAGACCTGGAGTTATTGCATTTTAAATGTTATGCTGGCAGCTTTGTGAGACTGTACTACAAAGCTAGCTGAAGTTTAGAACCGCCTGACTAACATTGGCATCCCTATAAACACACTGGCTTAAAATCTGTTAAATTCTCCATCTGAATGAATTCAAATGGATTGTTCTGATGCTCTCTTTCTAAGTCATATGAATCTAATACCTTCCTTATCAGCTTCAACCTGGTCTACTGAACCTTCTGATGTTTGACAAATACATTTATAAGCAATCCCCAAACACAAATCATTTAACAAGCACACCTCCAAGTGTGCTTCAGAGGTCAGACATCATCACATCCAGCTGTGCTGCTCACTGATCTCGTTTCCCCTGTGTCATCATATATTACGGCAACGACACTGAAGAGTGTAGATATTAGGGACCAACCTCCCTGTTAAGATGTTTTCATTCACCATGAAGTAGAAACACCTGCTGCCTCGCCTTCCATCAGTCCTCCAACAGCCAGAGACACGAGGAGCAATGTGCAATAAATTACCACACAAATAGACCTTGGAATAGGCCTGTTTTCAGGGTCATCCTTCCCTACCCCCTCAGTCTGACCTGAAGCACTCAAATAAATGGGAAGATGAATGTCTCTGGTGTGAAACCATTTCTCTGAACGGTGCTTATACTGTATGAGTTACTTGTCATGTGTGTGTGGCTTCACAATGAGCCTCAACATATTTTCTTCTAGATGAAACGGATCAAGAAAGATGGGATTTCCAATCAAAAACAAGTTATTTTTTGATAAAAGTTCAGCTTTATAAATAAACTAAGTTAAATGTAACCTAACATTTTATACAAACATCTTAGTCAGCTTTTTTTTTTTACTTATTTTGTGTCTGAAAGGGAAGTTAAACAAAGCCTAAACCAGGACTTTCCCCAATCTGTTTTGGAATTTGCAAAACCTTCTGGGCCTTTTTGTCCGATAGCTCTAAAAGTCACCCCTGCCACAATCGGACAAATGCAAATATTGGACTAAATTCAAAGAGCAGATAAGTCTGAGAAGCAGTTTTTTCCCCAGGGAACTTTCCCTCTAAAAGTCCTTTCATATAAAAAGTCAGATATTAAATCCTGTTCAGAAGTTCCTGTCAAGACATTAGAACAGACCGGATTTACTTACTTGTCTGTCTGAGCACATTTCTTAGGAAGTGTCACTGAATGCATGGGAAGAATATAAATATACTCTATTTAAATATGTGCTATATGTTTAAATGCTACATGGTTGGAATTATAGATAATAAAATACATGTGGGGTCTGATGCGTGAGGAGACTCCTCAATGGGTTCCCTTGAGCCCCCTGACAGCTGGCCATATCCAGTATGCATTAAAAGGCCGGGTACAGCAGGTGGTTTTGAATAAAGCATGTTCATTCTACCAATGTGTCCTGAATATCAGCTTGCGTATCTCTCACAATGTCACTGTCCAGATTTCCTTGAAAATGTGCCCCCTGGGGAAATCACAACCATGCAGATGTGCCTTTTCAACAACAGGGGGTCACAGCGGGATCACTTGGTGCTCTTTTGTGTTGGAGATACTTGTGTGTTCAGTGATATTAAACGTTTTGCACATTGATCTATGAAGCGTGCATCACTCGTATCAATCATGACAAGAACAACCACAATAGGATCATGTAAGTTCCCATGGGAGATAAACAAATATATAATAGGAAAGCCGGGAATAGAAAGTGATTTTCTTCCCACCAGCTTATCACACCATCCTCAGCAGGACAGGTGTCAATAAATTAACCCCACAAGCTATATATATATATATATATATATATATATACACATCCTCAAATGTATACACGATCATATACACATCTACTAACACAAGGCATAAAAGACCCTGTCTGCCTCTTCAACACCTGAAGACCTGTCTCCTGAAGGTGCTGTGGTTTGAAGGCAAAGGTGTGTACTTGAAACAAGCTGACAGAACATCTTTGCTGCAGAAAATCTTCAAGATACAGATAAAGTAAACGCGAAATGTCCTCTCAACGTTGCCTGGCACTCCTCTCACCCTTCAACAGCCTGCTGTCATCGGAGCTTTATGTTTTTCTAGACAGTGTGCCGGAGCTGGTTGGTGGAGGACATGTTAGGATTTGGATTATTGAGATGAGTAGAACCAGCGGCGAGCTTGTCACTTTGCTGCTATATTTGGTCAGACAGCAGGAGGCCCCGGCAGAGACAGTGTAGTCTGATCTGGCTTGACAGTTTGCTCTTCCACTATGTCCGCTCTCACAGACAGCTCAGACTGACACACACAGATGAGCGTGCACAAGCGATCTGACACCCGGCCCGGCATCGAGCGCTGATGTGGGCG